CCCACATCCTATGTGTATAATCTTAGATTAAAAAAAAAAAAAGAGAGATTACTAATTGCTTTTTAGCAAACTAATTGCTATTACCTTTTAAAAGGTGTGATGTTCATACCTTAAAGACTTTTGAATTATAAGTGGAGTCAACATTCACTTTTGAAGTTGATCTGAGTTTTCTTCAGAAGTATAAAACTACTCAAGCACAATAGTACAAAACTATTCAAGCACAAACTAATGCAGACTGAAGTGCCCAGTTCCTACTGAAGTAAATGCTACAACAGGAAGCATTCAATAAATTAACTCAGGCAACATGAAAGCAATTTAATTTTTCTTATGTCAATGGGGCTGTCTAGTAACTTATGTGGAAGCTGGACCAGTTTTCAGCCAGAGCATATGAAAATGTCATTTAATAGAAACAGAAACCCTGAGGTTTTAGGTGTATAAAAAAGTTTGAAAGTTAAAGCCAAATTCAGAATATAGAAGGACCTTGAGCAGGGCAGTCAGCTCCCTTTTCCCTTGGTGGTTTTATAGAAGACAGTTTGTATGTCCTTTGCCCTGATAGTATGTGTTTTCCAGCACATCTGCATGGCTCAAAACTTGAAGCAAGAGGCTAGTAATAACAATAGGATTATCAAGAATGTCTCAATGTGAGTTCTCACCTACCTGGCTGTTGGGGTTGGACCATGGAGAGTGCAGGCTTCTGTCCTTTGGGCAAGTAGCCCTCTTTTCCCCAACTCAAGTTATCCTTTGATCTCAGTAGTTGAGCTTCCATCTGCCATAGCTGCTTCTTCGTCTGAGGTGGCTGAGGCCAGACAAGACTTAATCCCTACAAGACTGATTTCTTCCTGCCTAAGCCTAGAAACCATTTCAATATATGCTGTTGGATCCTCAGGAGGAGAAATTCATTAATTAATCTGTTCTTTAGAGGTTTATGATAGGAAGGATGGCAGCAGTACAGCAGGAAGAATGGAAAACTTGCATCTCCGGAGAAGCAAATGAATGATAGAGGGCTAGTAGTTATTCCTGGAAGATAATAATCTTCAGTTGCCCTGCAGTACATCAACTAACTAAATGCAACAGCCATATCCTGCAGATAGTGGGCTGAAGATGAAATCTGCAAGAATCCATCAGTGGTGTTGTCTGAGGGCCTTACCTTTTGTTTCAGTTCCATTCAGTACCTGTTGTATCTTCACTCTTCAATTCCTGTCCCATTTTGATGTCACTTACAACCTAGCTAATTCCCTGTCCTTCTATTTCTTGGCCAAGTTTAATTCAGATTCTGAACTAAGGAAAAAATGGTTACTCTAACAATCTCAGCTGCCTCATGACTCAGTCTCAAGAGTTAGAAATTAAATTTATATAATATGGTATTATATTTGAAACCAAAAAATCCAAGCTGAAGCTGCTTAAGCTTTCTTTAAGCTACTAAATGAAACATGAAATCTTTTCTGGAGTCTCCATGTAATGTTGATAAATGTTTGGAGTATGAGTGTGCTTGCTGTCTCTGGGACTTTTACCAATCACAGTAGCATATAGGTGTGCTTTGGCACTGATCTAGTGTTATCTATAATTATGATGTACAAGTGGGACTCTGACCTGCCTGGGGGCAGAACATAGGGTTTCTTTTGCAGTGGTGGTTTTCACTATCTCAGGATACACACACACACACTGACAATGTTCCTTAAAAGAGACTTGAGGATGATATTAATATCACCTGAAAAAAGAGTAAGAAATAGGGTTTTTTCAATGATAATCAGGAAGTAGTAGATAACATGTCCTATATTCTAGGGTAGGTTGAGAACTACAGAATTTTTGGGAAAAACCTTTGACAGATACCAACAGAT